ATTAAATAAACCGAATCAATTCGTTAAACTTCCTTTCTACTTCCTATTGATTCAACATCGTTTAAGGTCAGCCAAATGTTATTTACTGGACTGTCTGTTGGACGTATTACATGATGACAGCAACCCAACGTTGTCCAAACACATGTTTATACTGTGAAATAACTTCCTTTGAAAGGCCGAACGTACACCGTCTTCGTGGTTTACACCTTTCCCATACGACCGTAGTAAGTAGAGCTGCGTACCCTACTACAAAGGATCTCATATTATCCGCTAATCTAATCTTTCAGCCGTTTCATGTTGATGTTATATTAATTTCTACATTTCGCCATTAATTTTTGCACAGAAATATGTATCCGTTATAATAAAGAAACATTTACTAAATAAAAATTCGTTCCATTCTACTGAGGTCATCTAACAGAGACATTTCGACATTTGTTTGGGACAAATTGTATAGTAGTAGAAGAGTTTCGTTTGCACTGCAGCCATTCTCGAACTGTTCGCAAAGCAGTTTGGAGGAATAAAAAAATCGTAGCTATCACGAATTCAAAGATTTCTCTAACAAATACTAACAAATACGTTTGTACCACATTTATTCCTCTGCTCCGTTAGTGAGACTTTCATGTTGTTATTTAAATTTTGTTTTTGTTTTTTTTTTACTGTTTTTTTTTTCTTTTTTTGAAAAAGTTTTTTTTTTGTTCTATTTTTTTTCGGCCCCTCCCCCCGTTTATTTTTGTTGGAAGTTTTCGGCAAACTGTCTTTGGTGTTTTTTTTTTTTTGTTTTTGTTTGTTTAATGTTTGGTTTGTTTTTAATAAAAATGTGTAAAGTTAAACAAAATGGGGGAAGATTGTATGATTCACAGCAGGCCTGTGAAATAGCCATCCAACCTTACTGATAAATTCCAAAACGAAAAAGCTATTCGGTCTCCCTAAGCTTCTACAGGATTACGGTACCTCCAAACCCCCCCCCCCCCCCCCCCCCCCCCCCCCCCCCCCCCCCCCCCCACCCAAGGGAAGGCGGTTAAGTTTCTGAACACTAGGGGGAGGGAAGTAATTCCAATCTCGGCAAACGGGCTGGCTAAATGGTGAATTTTTTTTGTAGTGAGGTGAATATGAGCCAGTTTCCCATATATATATAAAAAAAAAAAAAAAAAAACAAAACCCAAAAACCCAACATCCACGAAATTATCCCTGCCCATAACTTTCTAGTTGTTTGTCTTAATCAAGTAACCTGTCTACAAGGTTGCGTTATTCATTATTTCATTGGTATCGCAAAGTTAATCGCAAAAATTTCATGGCAAAGATAGATCGTAAGAATATCTTAATTAAATGATTTTTGTCAACATTGGATATCTATCTTATGTTTAAATACTGGAATTGAATTTTATAGATTAAGCAGTTTATAACACTGTTTTCTTCTGCTGAGGAGGAATTTTTTGCTTGCCAAATAAGGCTTGAAAATATAAAACAATTTACTGTACACAAAATTATTGTTCTCAATGAAATTTCTGTGCAACAATGGGCACCGGAGTAAATCGTTCATGAATCCTGTACTGTAACACTAATGTTATTCCAGAAAGGGATGTATGTGGGGAAAATGCGAATTTGTTATAGTAAAATAATTGAGATAAGAAATTAAGGGGTATCAGAAACCCCTATACCGACAATGTTAAATTGGCCATTTTCAATGTACCTTTTCTCAAAATCTGCTGTAGATACAAGCTTGAAATTTTACTGTAATTAAAGTATACCTATCTGATTATACTGAAATGAGCTTTTGAAACATTTTGAATTTTAGAATGAATTACAGAATATTTTGTTAGGCATAGTAAAATTTAGCACTTTTCTCACACAAAAAATTTTTTAATTTTTTTTCTAAGTTTATTACAAAAAGCTCATTTCAGTAAATATTAGGGAACCTAATAAATAAGCCATAAAAAGTTTAGATACCTGCGAGCAGTAGTTCCTATGAAAAGGTACATCGAGTATAAAAAAATCGCGTTTAGAGAAAAACGCGTTTTTATGTAAAAATCCTCATTGATCAAAGCAGTAGATGACAAATTAAAACTAGATTTTTTTTATAGTTCTAATTTTCATAGAGATTAAAGAATGGTATTTTTAGGAAGATAAAAGTGTAGAGAATTTGAAAATGCAAAAATCCGAAATTTTTGGGATTTTTTTTGGAAAATTTTGAAGATTTTGGGGTTCCATCACCCCTTAAGAGAGAATAAACGACCTGCAATCAAATATATGTAAAAAATGGATTAGCAATAACAGTAAAAAACTACCAATACTGCAATTTCACTGGCTGTGTTCAGGAGAAATAAAAAAATATGCGATATTTAGAGGGTCTAAATTTATTTTTTATTCCTTACGACTTTGCTAAATAACTTTTTCAACTTCTATTTGAAGCACTTTATACAGGTTTTTTTAACTACTAGTTAAGACCTTTAACAGAGATACTATAGCTACAAATAAACCACGCTGCTTTACAAAGCTTCGTTGTATTTGTAAATAACTGGCGAAATACGACTGTCAGTAGTTTAAAAGTATTATAGCTTTTCTTTCCACAAGAAGTTTCCTAGCAGAAAAGTACTCCCCCCCCCAAATCTCCAAGATAGACAACAATGAGAAATCTCTTTTATTTGTTTAAATATCGCTGGTCTGGCTACCCAAGGGCTGGTATAAAATTCAGGAATTTTAAGTTTTTCCCCCAAACTTGGAGTTTTAGAAGAACGCATAAATACCCAGAGGACTAGTATATTTCTTCTCTTTTATGCGAGAAACCTATTATTTTAAGAAGGCAAAGTTCACTTTAAGAAATTATATGATATTTGATCTCATACTGTGCTTAAGAATTCAATGAAAGATGGGTCTTAAATTTCCGTGCTCATTACCAAGGAAAATACCCGAAAAAAAACACTTTGAAATATAAACAGTTTACATTATTGTTCTTAAAATACCTAATGGCATTGTCAGTTTTATCTTAATCCATCAAATTCTTAACTAAAAGATGTACCCACCAATGCTGAATGAATAAGACAGCTGAACAGAAGCAGTTCGAATCCCTGTTAACAGTCTGACTGCATAGACCTTTTGGTGCTAACCTTCCCAATGCACAACGTAAATACAAGCTAGATTCCTATAGGAAGTTATTCACAAATACAGCAAAGCACATTAACGTGTTATCGGAAAATTATAGTAGTGCGCTTTGTCATAGGAAACTGTCTATTCGTTAGCTGACTAATTCTTTGTCAAATACTGCGTTCTTTCTCAAACATTACTCTCACAAACGTGTGTAAAATTATAGTCATGTTTTGAGTTTTAATTAATTAGTTATTGGCAAGCGAATGCATATTAAGAAATTTAATAAAAAGATTAAAGTCCTCCTTTCTTATTGCAAGTCTAATCTTCTTTTAAAAGAATTACCACTACGAAATTTAGCGAATCATTCATTGCTATACCCAAGACATAAATTGAAAGATCTACGCCTAGGTTATCTCAAATATATTTTCTGCACTTTAAATATTCAGTCTAAATGCAAGGGGTGTAGACTTTAGCCCAGAAACAATTTTTACCATTTAATAATACAGAAACTGCTGAACATATTACAGTCACGGAAAGTTTCCCAAAGTTCTAATTTTTTAAAATAATCCTTTCCTACCTAAGAAAAAGTCTTATTCCTGTCGAACCTTACACCCTGCGAGGTCCTTGCAGCGGTTTGCCAACCAAAGAATCATTTAAATATTTAGCATCAATTTTATTAAATGGCAATTCACTTCAGTCCTTCAACTTATACGCTTAAAGTTATGTTTGGCCACATTTACTTCCCACAGATTTGAAGCCATCTATAAATTACAACACCTATATATATAATGAAGAGCTGAGAAAGTGCAATTATGTTATTAAAGTCGAAGAAGCTTGGTAGTAGGGTATATGACAGGTTGTTTACGAAGCTGTACAAAGAGTGCCAAGTTTACGGGCAGACTTTATGCTAAGTTGTTTTTACGTACTACTTGCGGAAGCCGCTGAAGCCTTTCTTAAAGGGGACAGCATAGATGGTTTCTTCAGATTAGAAGTTTCAGATTAGAAGTGGTGAGGTTTTATTTGAAGTTTGTGAAGTTTAAAGTGTATAGAATATACAGAAATTGTGTAGTTCAAGATCGTCGAAGTCTACTTGGGTTATTCTCGCATATAAAGCGATTAAAATAAGTTAAAGTTCGTAGTTAAAAGCATGCTTTCTTTCCGCATTTTTACAAGAATTTCAGTCCTGAAATTTTAGTTGAGAACTACACGTTTTTAAAATACGTATAACGGATTTTACATTTAAGAAAAAAAAACGCATCCTTGTAACCAGTTGAAAGAAATAACGGAATTTAAACCGATTGAATGACTAAAGCTTCACTTACAATAACCTGTTAGAATCAAGTGTTCAAGGGAAAGGAAACGCCTCGATGTGTTTCATATTCTTGTCGAGTTCTACTTATAGATTTTCAGTTCAAATTGAAGCTAGTAATCGTGTAATAATCTTTCTGTACATTGTTAAGTGAATTTGAAGTTGACCGGACAAGAAACTACATTTTCTTAAAAAGTTACTACAAAATACACCACTCTGAACTAGTGAAATAGCAACTTACTGAATTTACAAGCAATTTATACTAAAGGAATAATCTCCCTTTCGACATAACTATATGCAAAGGTTAGCGTCAGCATAACGAAGTAACGATAAAACCTTACGTATCGTTGAAAATTAACTCGGAAGTTCAATAATAGTATACCTGGACAGAGTTGGCGAACTAGGAGAACTGACGTTGTTGAATATAAAGGACTTCACATTTGTATACCACGAAGCACCTAAAAATTATTTCACAATGCTATTCTATAATTTAAGCAAATGAATTTTTAAATCACCTGTCCTGCAAGGTGCGAAAAGCTTAAAGTAAAAACAGACTTTAAACTGTTAACTAGATTAAATAGTATCATAATCTAAAGAAAACGGGAAATTCAGTTTAGATATACTTTATTGAATATTAGTAAATACAATATAAAATTTTAAGAGTGGGAAAGGCAGAAGATTCGGAAATAAAAAACCTTGCACCAGTCCAAAAGTTACACTAGGAAATTTAAGTTTCACTTAAACCGCTACTTGCAATAATTGCGGCCTTAAGTCAATTTCAATATAAAAGAGTAATTAACAGATTAGCTCTGCATGTACATTTTAAAACATTTGTAGGCCATTAATCATGCATAATTATTGCCTGGTACAAGATATTTTATGTGTCGGCCAAATCATCACAATACATTACAACATAGGAACTGGCATAACGAAATACTTAAAAAAATTAAAACATTCAGAATTTAGAAGAGCTATATTAAAGTCCTGTGCAACAGGTACACCTCTTACGGCTCAATTAAAATTCCTGGAAGAAAGAATTTAAGGTTTATATAAACATTTAAAGGTTTAAAACAAATCATTCCGTGCAAAATACAGACGACTGAAGAGCAAAAATTTTGCTTTCAGGTATTTCAAATACCCGTTTTGTAAAGAGTCGCCGAAGCTGGTATTGCGATTTCTTCATTCCAAATTGGAGAAACAATTTGGCTGCTTCGCTGTTGGAACTAGTAAGTTTAGCCACTACTCCTTCTCTTCGCTGACTGTCATCGAGGTCACTTAATAAACCAAATATTAAGGCAAAAGCAGATTTGTAGTTATCTGCGTATACAGGAGCTATTAACCAGTGTCCTTGCATGCTCTTCTTCATACAAGCGTATCCTGTTGTCTTGAAATGTCCGTCGGTGCACTGGATAACAGATAACAATGTCACTGTTCCTGGTTCTTTAACTGTTGCCTTGACAATCGGAGAACGGTCATATTTATGTAAAGAAGCGTCGTATTGGACAACATGTTGAACAAACGGTCCTTCTGGATCAACAACAATAGGAAAGGGAGAAGTCAAATCTTGGTTTAAAGTATTACCAGGCAGAATGGCATTTGCAGTTGTGTACAAGTCCACTGTCCAATTCGCCATCACAGAGAAGCCAGGCTTTCTCTTTGTAGAAAGGCAGCATTTTATCTGCCGAGCTTAAACTTATATTCCTATTCCCTAACCGAGCAATGGCAGCATTCCAAAGTATTCTACCTAGTCCACAACCTCGGTGCTTCCGTTGAACTACGTACATGCCAATATAGCCGTGATCATCTGATAAGGCTATTCCACTACAGCAACCAGCAATTTCTCCAGTCTCCGAGTTTTCGGCAATGAAGATACCAAGGGGATCCATTTCCAACCAAGATCGTATTTCGGGTTCCAGCCCCATTTCCCTACCTTCTAACTGAGGGAGGTAGATAAGTGCAGGAATATCATTATACTGCAAATTCCTTATAAAAAATCGTGCCATTTTTAAACCAATAAGTCTATATTGCAGCAAATCACCTTAATTTTTTTTTCCGACAGCTTCAAGCCTAATCACGTATCAGGTCTTACTTCGCACCAATACAAAATGAACGTCGAAGAATTTTAAAACATAAGCACTACGGCCCCCAAATCAACAAGCAACTTCCACACAAAGCACCATTTCGTTCTAGCTCATGATCTCCTTTTAATGCAGTTCTTATCGCAACAGAGCCATTACGTCATAAATGCAAAATAGCTAAAATCTGCATATCACATTTTAAATTTCCTCTAATGTTTGCTTATTTATCTATTTATTCTTATTTCTTCTTATAGTAAGCTTTAGGTAAATCTTTATTAATTTAACACTTTTGAAACAGTTTTTATTTATTTTATTTATTTATTAAATTTGCCTAAGCTTCATATAAGAAATCGCTATGCGATAAAAAAGAAATGTTTTGAAACTGATTAAATGTTTGAGTACTTATATAAAAAGAAGTGCGTGAAATTAAATGCACGAAAGAACTCGTTTATTTTTATATATACTAATATTTACTAACGGACTTAATGTTCAAAAGTTTGTGAGCATGCAACATTTATAAAAATTATAGAATCTACATTTATGTATATGGTATGATATATAGCAGCAAACTTTTGTAAATGGAAAAAAACTTCCAGAAATATATCTGTTACCGTGATAATTAATATGCTTTCATATTTATGAACTTGAATGACATTTAGATCTGCAATATTATAAAAATGTTCAGATTGCAGTTAAAACATTCAAAATGGAAATTACTTTATATATATATATACTTTCGATACATATATATATAGTTGTTATACTATTAATCTCGATAAGGATTGTACATTTAAACTTGTTATATAGTGAATGTTAACTTGAGTTTGAAACAAAAAATTAGACAAAGCAACAACCTTATGTTTGGCGTAGATTACTCGGCGCGTGTACCCCTTGCTGCATGCCTTCGTGGTGTAACGGTTAGCACATTCGGCGCGTATTCGAAGGGTCCAGGTTGGAGTCCCGGAGAGAGCATTGCTCATTTTTCAGTATTGTTTTTGCTGTCAAGTTTAATTCTAAATATTTCTTCATATTTTTCATGCTTCCTTGCAAAGGAAACATTCATATTAAACAGACGAGAACTTAGAAGACTCACGTAAAGTAAAACTGCAGTTAAGGATCTTCTTTCCTTCCCTACCCCATCTTTTCTATTTGACCTCCATGATGCGTTAAACCAGTGCTACCAATAAAAACATGTCTCTCTTTTAACTTAGCTCTGGGTTTCAATGATAGTTCTTTTGAAAGTGTTTGGAAAAGCATGCTTTTTTGAAGGAAGCCGCCCAGACGGTATAGTGGTTAGGGAAGCCTGACTGCGATACCGAAGGGCCTAGTTTCGAATCCCGGAGAAGGTATGGTTGTAACTGTCCGTCCCTTTCATAAGAGGCGATGGTGGCCTACCTATTAGGTGCCTTCATAATAAAGAGACCACCACATCTGGCCTTGTATAGATTAATGGACTGTGTTACACTGTAACTGTTCACAATCTGCCATTGGGGGAAAAAAGATTTTTGAAGAAAGCTTCTAAATTAAAGCAAAATTAACATATTTTCAGTTTAATAAAGAAGTTGAAAAATTCTAAAGTTCAGCCAAACGAAAATATCTCTTCTATTATTGAATTAAATCGTAGATACCAAGATAGCCGCCTAAAGAAATTCCTCGAAAATACTTTTTGCATATTCTAAATAATAAAATACTGAGCAAGGCAACATTCCTTTTTCCTAATCTTAATCATTTAGAACAATGTAACCTCTTTAGCTCCTTTTTGCACTACAACTGAGAAAAAAATTTATTAACATTATTTAAAATATAAGGATTATTTTGTAAGTGGCATGTCATATATAGCTTATACTCCAGTGGTTTCAGACTGGCAGTCCACATCCTCCCCCCGAAGCAATATTTTTTACGCGGCCTGTAAAAGCATTTTAATTATGCATTTCTTTCAAATAGCTTTCATTTAGCTTTAAAGGCAAAGACTGAGCTTATGTGAGCGACTGTTACTGAAGAAAAAAAGATATAGTGAACACGATATAGATATAGATATAGAAAATACAATTTTTGTTTCTTTAATCAGAAACAGTTTTTAAACTTCCGAAACAAAATTAACAACCACCAGTCCTCAATCTTTTACGTATAAATCATAAAATATTTCAATTTGGCACAATTTCGACTGATTAACAGGTATTTCATGTAAAGCTAAGTGACTTTATTCTTAGTTATAAAGTTTGAAATCAGAACTAAGAGTAAAACGCTGAAGTCAGTAGGGTATTTTCTCGCCCCTTGCTGCATGCCTTCGTGGTGTAACAGTTAGCACATTCGGCGCGTGTTACAGGGGTTCAGGTTCCAGTCCCGGGGAAGGCATTGCTCATTTTTCATGTACTTCTGCTTCAAAAATATCTAATGACTCCACAGTGGCGCCTGAACTAAAAGGTGGTGAATGATGATTTTTCATCACCAGGATACCCTAATCCCCAGTCGCCCTTTAAAAGGGGGAGTATATAAGATATTTTCTCCCTCCTTTCTGCAAGCCTTAAGGTGTAAGGGTTAGCACATCCAGCACGTATTCGAGAGGTCCAGGTTCGAGTCCCAGCGAGGGCATTGCTCATTTATCAGGTCCTTGAAAAATCCTAATGACTTTACTGTTTCATGCGGCTAGAAAATACAAACTTGAGAAAGGGGGGGATGTCTGTGTTTTTAGCGCACGAATCTTGAAGTCGTAGAAAATATTGCTTTCATAAATCTTAGGGTTTCCAAAGCTCTCTCTTTCTTTCTCGTTATTTTGAAAGTTTGATATTTGGAAATTTAGTTTGATCACTAGCCAGTTCATAGAATATTTTAAATATTTTAAAAGTGAAAGGGGAATCGCATTTGGCATAAGCTCTGGTTAATTACTTTTTGTTGCCTTAATTCTTCTTTCTTTTCCAGTTATACTTATAACCACAACAGACGTATGAAAAATTGCTTTTCGATTAAGGAAACAACATAAAATTTCGTTTGCTTTATCACTCTAAGTTGTAATCAAATTTAATTTTTTTTATCTTTCTTTACCTATTAGTAATCAAAATTTGTAAATAAGTATAATTTCTTTAAACTTTAAAAATGCTTCAAACATCTCGTCACGTCGCAGAATTTTAAAATATCTAATAACTTACTTTTTTTTACTCTGATTAAGAGATCCCACAGTAAACTTAAAACTTCGCTTAGGTTCACGTGTGTTTACTTTTTGCATTTTGTACTGAACATTAATTTGCAATAAAGACAGATTTCAGTTTACAGTTTATATGTGGTTACATATAAACTATTTACATAGTTGGACGGAGACAAGCCGGTGGCGGGGGTATTACGGCGTGAGAAATGGAAATGTTTCCATGGTGCACTTTAACACCCATAATCCCCATAGAACAAACCCTGACGTCTGTGCGCTACGTGAATATTTTTGCAGACCAGTTTCACCCATTCATGACAACAGTAATTCCGGCGAGGGTCATAACTGTCGAATCGTCAAGGAGTGGTTCGAGGAACATTCCAGTGACTTTCAAGTCATGTCTTGGCCTATGAATTCACCTGACATTAATCTAATACAGCATTTGTGATCCCACCTGGAAAACCAAATTCTTGCCGCCGCTCTACCGTTGCAGGACCAACTGGTGAGCGCTTGGTATCAGATACCTTAGACGACATGTCAGCACCTTGTAGAGTCAATGCCACGCCAGTTTTGAGGGATAAAGGTGGTCCTACAACACAGGAAGATCATAATGTAATGAATCTTCGATGTGTATTCTGATGCGTAACATTTAGTGCATAGTACTTAAGTAATGAATAATTGTTTCTGTTATGAGTGGTTTCTTGTCTTAAAAGATAGGCATAGATTTCGATTCAAAAATGGACTTGATATCAAGGAGCACTGTGAATGTCTTTATTGCTTGCACATGTTACTGTCATTTTCATAAATTAAATTTAATATATTATCAGAAAGCAATTTTTAGTGTAGCTGAAAATTTGAAAACCAATTCACGCAAAATGTATATTTGAATTCGTACTTCATATCGGCATTATAACTCTCTACCAAAGTAATCTTTCACAAGTCATGTATAGCTATTAACAAATAAGAAATGTAGTCAAATAAAACTACGTTAAAATTCTACAAACTTTATCCTAGAATGGAATTCATTTTTAAAAAATTTCTGCGCATTTCTAAAGAATCTGACAAAAGTTTCTCTTCTTTTTGTCATCATAAACTAAGCCTTTTTGTTGTAAACTGCATATTAAACCTAAGGCCATCCACAAAATTTAGTAAATTACAATCACAGATTAGCATTAATTTTGGAACAATGATGTATGCAGATAAAGCTCAAACTACCATACACCAAGCCTGCAATGACTACCTTCCAACACGCAATGCCAAACGCTTGTGTGGAGTTAATTGGTGGAATGGATTCTTCCGTACACAACAACACAAATGCAGAGAGCACTTCGTCGGAAGTTAAAACAGGCAGGCAGACTCAATTTGCAAACAGATGCGTTAGAACGTTATCAAAGAGAAAGAGCCTTATACAAGAAAATGATTATAGAGGCGAAAATTAACTCATAGAAACGCTTCTGTACAGACACTAAGGGCGTTTATGGTGTTCAGCACAAGATTGTGACTGGAAAACTATTTAAATCAACCGAATTTCACGTCTCAACTTCCATCCAGACCAACACCGACTTTACTGCGAAAACTCTTCAGCAGGTCTTAGATACAGTTCTCTGTCCTGACCTCTCTTCAGATGATTCAGAATGCCATCACTCTGTCAGAAATGATCCAACACTATTAACAGCTCCTCCGGACTTGAATTTCACGTGTAAAGAGCTTCTACAAGTACTTACACATCTCCCGCGAAAGAAAGCCCCGGGACCTGATGGCGTGGATTACACCATTGTCAAACTTATAATAAGATCGGCTCCAGACGTCTTTGTCAATTACGTTAAAAAGCTTCTTTTTACCGGGACATTCTCGAAAATCTTCAATATTGACAATTGGTCAAGTGATGCTCTTTCTTAAAAAGAATCGAAATCCCTCAAATCCTAGTTCCTTTCAATCTATTTGCCTGCTTTCGT